ATATATATATATATATTGGTTATTGGTTATTGGTTATTGGTTATATACCATATTATGAATTTACGTCCATATGGGAATATGAAAAGAATAAATGTACAACCTAATTAATACTACGTATTACATAATATCATACCTAATATTACTATACATGATACCATACGTAATTATTATTTTTAATACCATGCATACGATTACCATACATACTTGAATTGGTTATTAATATAGATTTCTTAAATTGGTTATAAATCATATTATGGTATTACGTCCATATGAAATAATATTAACATACATAAAATTACCATACATATTTGTTAATATTTAGATTTATTAAATTGATTACAATTCATATTATGGTAAAATAATTCTTTTGCAATATACGATTTGGAAACTCAATTAATATTAAGATTCCGTGCAATGAACATATATTTCATCATGTGTACTCATTTGACCAAAAATATGAAGGTTGGTTCAATAAATCGTAAATATTACTAATTGTTTTAGTTAGAGAATAATCTTTATCAAATAAAAAATAATTAAATCTCTATCATATTCATATATGATGTTGCTTTAGGTTTTTGTCAAGTAGCACTACTCATGATCCTTAACACATTGCCATGGCTCCAAATCTTTGTTTTACTCCTATTGGTGCTGGAAGTACCGTCACATTAGGAAAAAAAATATTAATAGTCCAAACTCATTCAATGATGTCCCCTCTCATGCAAATGACCTGCAGATCTAGTTGCTCAGAATCCACTAATAATCAGATGGTTGGTTTTTTTTTTTTTTTTTTCTATCATTATGAATAGTGCATTATTTAATCCTGCCCAAAGTCCAATGATAAATAACTTTTAACCCGGATTGAGATAAGGTATTAAAGAAACACCTTTTAATGGGTTGAGCAAACTCGTCCAGATTGATGATGAAGAAGATGAAGTGAAATGTTTAACGAAATATATATATATATATATATATATATATATATATATATATATATATATATATATATATATATATATATATATATATGATCAATATAATCATAGTTTATATAATATATGTAGATAGATTTTAAATTTCACCAATGATATGATTTTCTATTCTTTATAAAAAAAAAAAAAAGTTGAAAAAGGATACATAGATTTACCAAATGTGCAGGTGTAGTGCAACAACTCTTCTGGATATGGAAGCTTCGGCTGCAACAACTCTTCTGGATATGGAAGCTTCGGCGGCTACACCTCACGCAAAGGATATGGGTCTTGTTCCTCCTCTTCTTGAATGTCCCTGTTCTCTACACCATTGCTATGCAGTTGCAGAGAATATTCCCTTTCGTTATTTGTAACTTGGTACTGTTTGTATTGAAGAGAATGTGATGTATATATATAGGTGTTTAGATATGATTAAGGGTAATAGTTATGGTTTTTATTATATTACCAATTACCAATTACAAATTAAAATTAGGGTTACCATTTTACATTTGCTTACCAAAAAATTATATATAGATACTTAATTTATATTTGAAGAATATATTTACCTAATTTACTTTATATACAGTATTAAGTATGTCTACACGTAAATGAATAATATATAATATATAATTTCTATATTTTGATAATTAATTAAATTAGAAAATTAGGATATTATATAAATGCCCCTAAGTTTGGGGGGGGGGGGGGGGGGGGGATTTATATGGTTTTTATATTATTATTATTATTATTATTATTATTGTTGTTGTTGTTGTTGTTGTTGTTGTTATTATTATTATTATGTTATTCTATTGTTATTGTTATTATTTTTATTTTATTTTATTATGATTATATTATTTCATAATATTTTTATTATACTTGAACAATAATATTTTCAATAATATTATAGAATATAATACCATATATAATATTACCAATTATGTAATATAACAATTAATAGATTTTATTTAATTTCCATTTGAAATTTACTTACCAAATAAGCTTTACTACAAAAGTTTTGGGGGGAAAATTTGTTAGGAGGATTTTACTTTTATATATATATAGATATAGATTCCTGTCCCCGTCGGGACGGGGAGTAGGGTTTCTTGTTGCGATGAGTATAATTGACATCCCTATCGGTCATTTTATAAAAACAAAAATTATTTTAATAATTGTAACTGAAAAAATCTTTCGTATGATTGTATCTAAGTTGGAGACGAAGAGGTTGTCTTTGTCTCTGATCTGGGTTGGAGATGAAGAGATCTCAGGCCGAAGACAAGGCTATTTCTTTGTTTTAGGACGGGAGATGAAGATAAGGTCTTTGTCTCTGGCCTAGAAAGTTTGTTTTGTTTTGTTTTGTTTTTAAATAATTTAAATATAGTTAAAATAATAAAATTTTAATGAAATGATCAATACATTAGCGGCATCTAAATGAACAAGTCAATTTTGATTTAATTGCATAATTTTGAAATATCCCGAAACTTTTTTTTTTTTTTTTTTTTTTGGGAGTAAACCACTATGTGGTTCCAATCATTATTGCATGGACTATAATCCACACAATTGTGTGGACCATAAATAAAAAATATATTTTTAATATACTAAGGTTACATTATTTATGTACGTAAGGTACATTTTTTGAAAGTACATTTTTAATATACTAAGGGTACATTATTTTATATAATATATCTTTAGTACAAAAATAATGTACCTTCAGTACAAAAATAATATACTTTTAATATATTAAAAATGTATCTGATATTAATGGTCTACACAATTGTGTGGATCATGGTCCTCACAATAATTTGTCATGTGGTCCGAGTCTTCCTTTGTCCATTTAACAGTGCAGGTCCACCCAATTCGCTCTGAGAGACACAAAATCTGACCTACAAAGAATCATCACTTGTGAAAATCGAATCCTAATTATCCCGCAATTCTCCCCCGAAACTAATTTCTTTGAGTTGGATAACCCTTGTATTTTTTGTCGAGGTGGCTTATTTGAACATTATTATTAGGAGTATTTTATTATATTAATTGAAATATTGCTCAAAACACTGCTAGTCCATGAAGGCACGAACACATAATAAACCCATCGCCCTGTTATAGGGTTTAGGCCGTTTATCTAATCAGCTCAGATTCTCAGGAGAGGCCGGACCGCCGGAGCCCAAAGGGTGTGAGTACTGCCACCGCGAGAGGATAGAGAGGTTAACTCGAAAGCATTCTTCGATTGCGAGAGGTTAATTCGAAAGCAGTAGTTCAGGTTTGGAACTCAAAGCATTCTTCAAGCTCTCAGTAACCATTTCTTCTACTTGCGATTTCTCTTAATCTAGACATCTACTAGTTTTCTCGGATTGTTTGAAAAATGAAATTCGATAATTTTCGTTCTGATATTGGTAAAAATACTAGAACCAAACGAGTTGAATCTCGATTGGCCGCGAGAGCGTCGAGGGCGTGGGTTCGGTGTTTGAATTATTGAATTGACATTAGTGTACCTTCTTGTATTGCTTGTAATGGATGGAGTGTGCAACATTATTTTAATTATATTTATTTTGGGTGTCAAGAAATTCCTCAGCCACTAATCCACGAATTGTGACCCTAGCTGACAAAAGACCGTAAACTAGCTTAAATTAATCCAAGGAAACCTATGCTCTGATTGGGAGTCGAACCAAGTCAACATCCTGACCAATTAGGGCTAGGGTTGCCTCTTAATTATATTTATTTATTTATTGTTAAGCATGGTTGTTCAAATTGTTATACTTAACCTAAATTTTGTAAATTTGATGATCAGATGGCACTAAGAGGTGTTTGGCAACTTCAGAAGCTGGTTGTGAGCTACTGTAATTGGGGAGGCAGTAGCAAGGGTTTAAGGTATGGATTAGTTAAAATTTTGTGTATTTTGTAAGGTGCAGGCGTGCGGTTTTTTGTATCACTATCAAAATTTTGAAATTACACTCTTTCTATTTGTATGCAAACCTTATTTTGAACTCAATTAACTTGTTAATTACCATTTCTGCTTGAGAAGGTTTTACGAAAGCATGGATCCTGATATCAGCATGTTTTGCAATTTGCATCCTGGTTTTCCTTTGGTTTCTACCGTTGCAATTCCATTTTAGAATATGATCTTACTGCTTGTCATCGGTAATCAGACCTTGACTATCTTCACCCTCTTGACTCTGATTTAACCAACTGAATTGTATTATGTTCTGAACTTCAATGAGGAATATCTTGTTAACTCGATCTAAGCTATTTTGTGTCTTAAACTCTTAAAGATTTATTGTACTTATATGTTGTACCATAAAACATAATCTTGACAGATTGACTTGTAAAGTGAGGCTTGCTGTAAATTCTCCTCAAGTTAGAGAACATATTCTGTGCTGTTTTGTAGAAATGCTCATTGCTGTTTCAAGTTAAAATGCTTGATACTAAATGATACTGGAACTTGGGCAAAATGAGGAAACATAAAGAGTTAAATTATGAATTGGTAGTTGCTATATTAAAGAATGGATGGGGAATTGACATAAAATTTGCTGGAAATGTGTATGCAATAGCTAAAATTTAACAGTGAAAAAATGATTGAAGATGAAAATGCTAGGTGCCTATGGCAATTAATTACAATTGTTTTTATGTATTAGGGAATTTATTGAGTCTCATTTGCCAGCATTCAAGGAGGTCAATCCTCATCTGGAAGTGGTCACTGAGCTCAATCGTGGTCAACATCCGTTTTTGAAGGGATTATACAGTAAGAATATCCAATTACCACCCCCCCCCCCCCCCCCCTCCTGCACACACACACACGCACACTTGTTAAAAAAAGAAAGAAAGAAATTTGCAACCATATATGCTTCAGGATGTGTGAATATATGAAAAGTCAACTAGTTTTATGATTTCTTGACTGGGAGCACCATTTTGAGTTTATTTTTGCAGCTTGTAATCCTTGTATACATGAAATTGCGGTAAACAATTAGCCATCATATAATTTTGTCAGTGTGATAACTGTTTTTTTTTTTTTTTTTTTTTTTTAATTATTGTTTGATATCATGGTAGTCACTGTCACTAATTTGGTTTAGCAATTACTCTGTATCATTAACGCTTAATACTGGAAAGCTGCAATAGTTAATAAATTAGATTGGTATTATTCTATTAAAAACAACTTATGTATTCATGTATTGTGTCTCAGAAATTAGACCTACCCGGTTGAATCTAGAACTAACAATTGTAATCCCCATCTTGAAATATAACCTTTCACAAGTTTCCTATGGCTCAGGCATATTGGGTTTGTGCAGTCCTGGTAGAGTTTCCTTAGTCCAAAAACCGACTGCTATATGATCTCTAAACTTAGAGATACTATAGTATGTAAGGGAGGCAAGGAAGAGAATTGTAATAATATTGAAATGACAACACTTCTAGAACAGTTTAATAATAGTCAAAAGCCGACTCTAAGCCCCTCATTTTTACAAAAGACTCTAGAACTAGTTTTGCTCTAATATGGAAAAATACTACAGTACCCTTAATGAAGCACATGCCTGGCATAGCTGCATAGGTTCTTTCTAAAATACTAGTGGTAAAGAAACTTATACATAACAAGAAAATAAATATAAGAACTTAGTTTAAGAATTCTCCTTCCTTTTGTTGTATCCTGTATTTGTTTAGACTCAAACTCAAAGTAAATAAAAACTAGCCTATTTTTAGAAATTTTGGCTGAGTGCAAGAGTTCTAAAATTAACACCTAACCCATATTTTCTAAAAATTACAAATACACTCATTTCTATGAAATTGCTTTTCTTCAACTGTTTCATGGTCTGCATCAGTTCCAATGCCTATGTTGAGTTTTGCATATTTCCTCACTTTAAGATTTAAATCTGGCTCTCTTCCAAGATAAATTGTGTTTAATGATACTTTCTACACATTGCAAGTTAATTCTATCTGCTTTCAACTTCCTCCTATTTTCATCTCGTGTGTGGATGTGTGGGCCGTGGGTAATATCTGTCCTGTTGGGATACAACTCAAGCTCTTTTCTTTGATGTCCAGAAAACAAGAACGAGCGAGCTGTATCTGTTAGAAACTTGAATCCTGAGGAAATTCTCTTAGAAGCTACGAGGTTAAGGAATTCGTTAGGGCGAAAGGTGGTGAAGATGAAGACTAGACATGTTACTAAACACCCAAGTGTTCAAGGCACATGGAGTACAGAATTGAAGATGTAATGCCATGGGGTCAAACACAAAGGACCTTTGGTTTGTTTTCTTGGGACTCTCCATTTTGGCCCTGCAATATTAGCTCTGTTTTTGTAGCCAAACTTGATATCTATTGTATGGTCTTCTGGGTTTTGGTGAAACTTTTAGCTCAAGAATGTTTAGGTATGCCTATTAAATAAAGAACTTTTTAATCCAACTTTTTTATTCAAAAAGACAAAATGCTCATAGAAGTAATGTTTTGTTGATGATGACATTGTACAAGGTACAGATTGTGTTTACTTTGGGGAGTTTGGGCATGTTTGGTAACATAGTTATTTTATCATCCAATTTTGGTTTGTTTGATCACTATTAGTTGTTTGATTTGGTTAAACAACTAATATGACTGTTTGATTAATTAGTTTTCTTGTAACCACTTATTGCTTCAAAATGCTAAAATACAAAAAAATGAAAAACTACTTAAAATAGTTTTTTCGATCATCTTTTAAGAAAGTTATTTTGCATGTAATTAACTATTAACTACCAGTTAGTTTATTAAATTTTTTTTTTTTTACAATCAACTAATGTTATCAATACACTTTTGTTTTGCATTCTGTAAATGTCTTAGAAGAAGAGAAATACCTTTTTGTGTTTTTTATAGAAACTTCTTGATCTTACCTATGGATAAGAGCGTAAATTAGCTGGCACCGTTACTAATTCAATTTTGTTTCTCCTTTTGCGTTTGACTTGTACGTATCATATGTTTGATTTGTCGCAAACGCAATCACAATTTCATTTCACAAAGAATTGGGAGAAAGAAAACAAAATGCATTTCTAACAATTTACATTGTAAACTAACGAAATACATAAAACGTTGTACTCTAGTGCAAGAAACGTGTTATACATGGATAGTTCCTATTTCATTCATGTACCCAAAAAAAAAAAAAATGAGAATAACATTTTTTGTCCTTCAATCATTATTTTGTTGTGGATTTAGTTGTTCAATTATTTGCGAGATAATTTAGTCCATCAATTGTTTTTAAAATGACAAGTTTTATTGTTTTTTTCTCCTAAAAAGTTGAATTCTCAACCCCTGCACAACAACATATGATGACTCAACGGCTTAGTATACATGACAAAATATCGGTGCGTACAAGAGATCTGTTCATTTTGAACATAATCTTCATGCCGGTGCATGCAAGAGATCTGTTCACTTTGAACATAGTTTTCACATTGCCAATACTGTCTACTGAACTATTGAGCTAATATTGTAAATTTTAGGAGATTAATCTAAGTAATTGAATTGTAGGAAAAAAGTGTCATTTTTCAGAAAAAAAAAAAAAAAAGAAAAAAAAAAGAGGAAAGAAAATTGGCATACATAATTACATATAGAATGTGCAAGCTAGCTAGCAGTAGAGGTATATGCACTATTCATTACTACAAGCAGCACTTGAACCCATGCCGGTATCATCACAACTATAACTACGCATTCCTTGCAACGCCGGAGAAGAGGCTGCCGCTGCCGCCGCCGCCGCCGCCACCACGACGTCCGGCGGGAAGTTGAGGAGGGCCTTAGCGCCGCGCATTCTGAACGCGGCCTTATCGTAAGCCAGAGCCGCCTCCTCCGCCGTGTTGAACGTGCCCAGCCACACCCTAGCCCCTTGCCTGGCCGAGTCGCGAATCTCCGCCGCATACTTCCCCCACGGCCGCCTCCTCACCCCCCGGTACCGCTTCTTCTCTATCGGGCGGAGCAGGGGCGCGCCGCCGCCCCTGCTCCTCCTCGGCGGCGGCAAAAACGAGTGGGTAGCCTCAGGCGGAAGCGCCTCCGCCTCGTTGAGAACCTCGTACAACACCATCTCCTGCGAATCGTTCTCGTTCAGCGGCAGCTCGTGGTGGTGGGCGTTTGGAGCCATGGGCAGAAGTTGCCTTGTTACAAGCGGGGACATTTATGTGATTATGTTTATGGAGCTGAGGAATCAAAGTTTGTATTGTGTGCTTGGAAGGGCGTATTTATATTAAGAAAATATTATATTTATTCTATTTTCTACTTTCAACTTATATTCTCACACACAAAATCTTGATATAGACATTTGTATTGAAATCTAAATAAAAAAAAAAAAAGTAACTTATCATAGTGTCGTTGCATCAGGGAGGACAATTTAAAGAGTAAGATTTGGAAGTCTATAGTAGGACTCTTTATATATTGTGTTGTTTTGTGGGGTCTTCGGTAGAATTTTATTAGTTTGTGAAAGGAAGGTGAGAGGAAATGAGAGACATTTGTGCATGTAACACAGATGTTTACAGGTCGGTGGGACACCCACCAGCGTACATCACGCCATGTTTTCTCTTGGAAAATAATGGCAAATGGACAACATTCAGGTTGTGTTATGTCTCAATTAAAAGTTTAATTATGATTAATTTACACATCTATGTATATATATTGGGAGTATTTAGTAAAATAGTTGTTAGCTAATTGAATTATTAAGTTTGACTTGTTGATTATATTAGTTGATTGTGGAAAGATGTTTGGTAAATTAGCTGATAACTGATTATATGCAAAATGATTTTTTTAAAAATGATCGAAAAAGCTGTTCAAAAGCTATTTTGAACAGCTTTTTGAATTTTTTTTATTTTGGAGCAATAAACTGTTATAAAAAACTAATTAAGTAAACATTTATATTGACGGTTTAACCAAGTCAAACAAGTGAAAATTGACTGATAAACTAACTATGTTACCAAACAGGACCAATATTACATGCTAAATCTACCTCTCACGATCCAGTTACTTTCTAATAGACTCCAATAATTTTACATACGTCTTGCTCTTATGCAAAATTTGAAGACGTGTTCTGTTCAAATTAAAGGATTACATTAATAATTAGACTATACATTTATGTATAGTATATATTATCTATGCTCAATATTCTATCCTTTTTTTTTTTAATATAGAAAAGAAAATAGCATCTTTTGTGTTTTCTTTATATATTTATACAAAATATTGATTTTAATTTTTCAATAATGACATAATAAGTATTATACACTCTTTAATTTTTCATAATGTAACAATTTGGTTCTCTCACCAACAAACACCATAAAAGTCTATTATTTTTGCTCGTGAAAATGGGGACCAAAGTTATCACTTCTTAAAAAATTAGTAAGCAATTACAAAAAAAAAAGAAAAAAAGAAAAAAAAAAGAGATAATGTTATTTGTATTAAATTTTGTATGATTTTGTTCTTTAAACAAATTGTTTCCACATAGTAACATCCAAATTTTCCATCAAGCTCAAGTTAGCCAAACATACGACTACCTTAATTGACTAGTTATCTAGTAGTTCATATTTGAATTTCGTGCCCCTCGCGTGTTATGAAATGTATGAGAAAACAAATATTACACCATGTTTCTCTCTCTATATAGAGTCGGGAATTTGCGTAAAAAATATGCGAATTAATCTTATTTGTCAATTTAAGATGATAAAAAATTGTTTTTTTTTTAAAAAAAAAAATATAGCGACATTTTTATAATTGCAATTGTGCTTTTGAAAACATTTAACAAAGCATTCACAAATAACTACTGTAATTTAGAAATGAACCACGACACATGTATTTACTTTTATGTGAATATACGTAAAGGTATAAATACAATCTTGATTAAAGAAGGTGCTAATAACAACAACTATATATTGATAAGTATTTTTTTTTTTAATTTAGACGAAACCGTAACAAGTAAATTAATATCCAACATAACACGTGGTTAATTTTTATACCAACATAATAATAATAATAATAATAATAATAATAATAATAATAATAATAATAATAGATAAGTTTTTTTTTTAAAATGTAAGAACTAAGAGCATGGCGCATTAAATTTTAGTATAAGACACGTTAAGATTTATGGAGAAAAGATGGACCTTTTTCTAGAGAGTCGTTGAAATTTTGGAGAACAAAAGTGGATGACGTCATTGCTTACGTAACTAATGGGCTCCCGTGGGCCCAAGTTCACATCAGCATTTCATTATCCTTGACTAGCCATATAATCCAGGTTCATGAACTTGACCAGCCTTTATGTTGTTATATTCTGGACTAGGTTCACTTTGCAAGGTGGACTCAGATTCAAAATACATAATTTATATATTGAATGTTTACAGTTTATTTATTGAATATTCACAATGTATATATACAATTTATATATTTTATATTCACAATTTACATACTAAATGTTCATAATTTATCTTTTACAATTGTGAACGCTCAATAAGTAAATTATAAACATTCAATACATAAATTGCGTATTTTGAATTTCGATTCACCTTGCAAGGTGGACCTAGTTTTAAGGAATAACTTGCCGCCTTTATATATACTCCGTACTATATTGTTGTCATGTGAATTCGATTCAAAATTTTCCAAAGTTTAAGGTTTTATTTTTATTTTTATTTTCTAAAACTTTTTTCTAGTAAAAGATAATGATCGTATTTAAAGAAGGAAAAGTTTGATTGCACGTGGTTTTGAACGAGGTTGTTGAAAATGATTGTCCCATATGAACATGACAGACTAAAAAAAATATTATATTTGTATGTTTTTTTTTTTTTTTTTTTCAAACTATAATTTATTCCAATTCAAAAAATTTAGTAATATAATAGAAAAATAATTCTTTTCAAACGCCCGGTATTTAATAGTTTAAAAAATAATAAGTATATTTTTTTAGAAGAAACTTCCGCCTCATATAATGATTTCATTAGAAGAATAAAATAAAGGGAATAAAAATTTGTGTTCAAAAAAAAATTGTGACTTATAATTTTTTTATTTTTTATTTTTTTAGATCAATCATATTATAATATGTTAGCATGGAGTACAAAGTAGAATACATAATTTGATTATAGGTAATATTCTTGCAATTAAGTCTGTCGTACATAATCTTTTTAATGTTAAGGTGTCTTTGGAAATTCAAAAAATAATTTCAAAAAATTATTTTTCAAGTTTCCAAAGATTTGGATGTGCCTTGAAAATCAAGTCAACTGAAATCATTTTCAATTGACTTGGAAAAATATGATTGTTTTGGAAGAGAATGACTTTCGCCAAAATTTGACGGAAGTCATTTTCTAACAAAAAAAAGTGACTTCCGCCCACAATAATTTCTAACAACAATCACAACCAGGCAGTGCTTTGGTTTCCCAAGAAATCAGTATTTTCGCTGGAAATCAGAGTTTTTTTTTTTTTTTTTTTTTTTTTTTTTTTTTTTTATAATTTTTATAATAAATAATATTATTTTTAATATTATTATATTCTAAATAAAACAATTAAAATGTTTAATTATATAATTGTACTCATTTTTTTTTAAAATGAACCAAACACACCAAGATAGTTTTTCAGAATGCAACCAAACACTAAAAATGAAACTATTTTTAAAAAAATGACTCATTTTTTCAGAAGTCATTTTCTTGGTTTCTAAACACATCCTTATTTGCGAACTATTACACAAGAGATATATTTATCTTGTGCAGTTGTGCACACATAACACTCAAATAGTGATTACATATTTTCATTGTCACCCAAAAATAAAGTAGAATACGCAATTCAATTCTTTCTAACACTCTTTCAATTGAGAAAATTTGTTGTAGTTTCGAGAAAAAATTAAATTCTTTTTACTTGTACCATAAATCATAATCACTTCTACATAAAATCAATAACATAAGACACAACTTTAGAATGTTACACTTTCATTCGTGATACTATGAAAAAAATTGCATTTCATAAAACACAACTTTGGAGTACCTAGTAGGCCAATTTAAGCACATCTCACGATTTATCTTATCCACTAATTTGTAAAACAGAAATGGTGAAAGCAATTTAAACTTATATGGAAAAACTGCTTTCCAATCCCACCATTTACCATTTTAAGACCATTGTTCCTTTAGATTGCAACAAAATTTTACTTTTATTCACTTAACTAGTTTTAACATATGCATTATGCGACTTATTTAATACACAATGTTTGTATTTAAAATTTAAATTAGTTCAAAGTATATTAATGTAAAATTATATAGGAGAAGTTTAATTATTATAGTTGATATTAAAATTAATGTTTAGTTTGCACTTTTCCTAAAAACAATTATCTAAATACTTATTGTAGTTGTTATTATATTAGGTAGTAGATACTACTTTTGGTTGGAATTACTTTAAGTTTTGTTAATTCGCTTTTTGATAGGTTTGTCGTTGTCTTCGTCTTCATTGCTAGTCCGCTTCTATTTTATTGGTAGAGTCTAATGTGCAATTGAGTTACTGGTGCTAGTTTGCAAAAAGAACATATTTGAATCTAAAATAGGTCAACAATATTATTGTTATTTTTGGGTGATTGTTGTTTTTGTTTTATAATTATATTGGATTTAAAGGTGTTGGCTTTGTTGTATGAGTTGCAAACATGAATAACGTCAGAAGAATTGATATGCATTACTTGCACAAATTAAATGCTGAAAATATACCTAAAGAAGGGATAGAGAAGGAACAAAATCATATTATCGATGTATCTCTTTTACTTATATCCGAGAGAGAGCTCAGCTAAAGGGAGCAAATGATGCACACTACCTTCAATCTGATTCGCCCAACCAAAAAGACACTTGAAGGCTCGACAAATTTCCCAACTCTGGGGGAATGAATCCTGAAATCTGGTTTGTATGAAGCTACAATTGTAATGAACTTTTTGCATTTGACAGAATAGAGGGGATTGAAATAGAAATATTGTTGTTACTAGGCAGGAGCCACACTTACCGTGATGGAATCGGTTAAAGAGGCATGCAATACATGCCAATTAAATATCTTAGGAATCAAATATCTTGGCTGGTGAGGCTCAACCAATGACTGCCACTTCATTGTCTCCTATGTTTGCTTCACTACTTCACAAGGTTGATGAAATCACAACAGATGCTAGCCAATTAGATGCAGTTGGTGACTTTAGCATCAAAGAATCAATTTCAAGCTTGATTGAGTTTCGTAGTGACATTGATTCCAGTGGAGTAATTGTTCCTGTTCTACATAATATTGACTCTATTGCTCCGTGAGAATTTGTATGTGGATTAAAGCCAAGTTTATGTAGCAAAAGCTTCATGAAATAACAAAATCATGAATTTTTTTTTTCTGTATTATGCAGTTTTTCAGCTCTCATATGAGGATTTGTTCTGAACATTTGAGGTGGGGTGTGGGTCTTTTGGATCAAGAAAGTTTAATTTGCTTCATCAAATTCTCCATTTTACTGCTAGGGAATAATTAAATATGTACACCCCAAAAGCAATGTGATTCTTTGACGCTTTTGTGTTCTTGATGCATTGATATCACTACATAAAATGTAAAAATTGGTGAACCAGAAGGTAATGTTTAATTAATCAAATTGACTGTATGCAGACTTTAAACTAGTGCTTAGAGAACTTTTGACAACTCATTCAGGGTTGTAATTATGAGTGCACTTGAATTCCAAAAAATATATGGTAACTTCTTGTTCATTTGTTTTGTGTCTCTCAATTTATCTAATTCCCCCCTTCCCCTTTTTCGAATGTTCTTATAAATGACACAATTTACTTTTAAAAATGAAGATATTTCCTAAAGTATCTTATACCTTACATCCTAATTAGTTTTGTTAGATTGAATAAATAGATGCATTGAATACCTAAGTTGATTTCATTATACTAATATTTATATAATCATCATATTTAGCCATTGATCATCCTAGACGAATGTATAAAATTAATCCACACTTATCACGAGGATCCTAATTCACATTTGGATGGATGGATCATGTGTGTGTGTGTGTGCCCTTCAAAATCTTTTCTGACATGTTAAATTTCATATTGTGTGTTTTTTTCAATACATTTTAACATATTTATAGTATATGTTTAACAATTATGTCTACATCAAAAAAAAAAAATAATAATAATTATGTCAACCCTGATTGGATGAGTTTGAACTTAAGACTTTTCTTATCGAAATTAATGAGTAAATTAATCAATAATAATAAATAGTTAACGACATATTCCATTCAGTGGCGGACCCAGAAAATCATCTGAGTAGGGGCGAATATTAAATGATGTTAGAAATGTCAATAACAAAATATCAACCAACCATAATAAGGTTAAAATACAAAATACATTATAAATTACAATATATTTATGAGAAAATATGAAACGTAATCAATTAGATAAAATAATTTGAATAACAATATATTCATAAATACTTTTAAATTTTAATTTCTTTTGGTTAGATCGATTTTTCTAAATTAATTCGAATACAATAAAGTATATTATAAACTTGTATACTACATTAACTAAATGATTTATAAAAACTAGACTAAAAGAACATTTAATTTGTTAATTAAATGATTCATAAAAAGTAGACTAAAAATATTTAATTTATCTTGTGAAGAAATGAAGGAGAGAAGATAATTAAAAGTGGTGCTAATGAGATTTGAACCCATGATATAAGCCTTTTATAACATAAAATTTAGAGTTCAACCAACTAAGCTATTCAAACTACTGGTTTTTTCAACATAAATATTGATTTTATATAATGTTTCATGCTATATATGTGTACATATACATACATATATATAAAGGGGTGGGTGGGGGGAGTGGGCACAGCTACCCCCACTGCCCCCACACTGAGTCTGCCACTGATTCCATTACTAAATTAATGAGTAAATTATTCCGTGGACTCGTGTCCACCTTGCAAGGTGGACCTGAATTCAAAATACATAATTTACCTACCGAATATTTACAATTTTGTAAAAAGTAAATTGTGAACGTTTAATATGTAAATTGTGAACATTAAGTATGTAAATTGTGCATTAACTCTTGTTTTATAGGGTGTGAGGTCAATTATCTCTTATATTTTTCACCCATAATGAGAATACTAATCTAAGAAATTAAGCCCAAAAATCATTGGAAGCATACGTGTACACATATAAAATCAAGGTAGAAGTGTCAAATAGGCCCATCTACTACTAGGAAATGCTCAATTTTCACCACGAACTAAAATAGTGTAATTAGCCACATTTACTAGCTAAATTTGTTCAATTGACTTTTTTTAGCAGGTTACCATCCCATTTATCATGACGTGTCCCGGTTACGCTTAGGTGGCTTGTTTACATGGAATTTAAAATAATAAAAAATAAGAAAAACATACATTTAAAATAATAAAAATAAGAAAAAAAAATTGGGCGATAGCTTCAATTTCTTCTTCGACGCCTCCATCTATCACAGCCCATCCTCGCCATCGTCATCCGTCATCCTCGCCTCCGCTTCCGTCGGTGAAGCTGGCGAAAAGCGCCATGGAATACGGAGTCCCTGTTCTCAACGACGAAGCTTCGCATATGTCTATCACAAATCCCTAATAACCGCTACTTTCAATTTTTAATTGTTCATATTGAAGACTTCTGTATTAGCGTATCGGAGATTGGTCCTAGGATCAGAGTAAGGAGCCTGCACACAAAAAATAGACACCAATAATTATCCTAAATCGTTAGGAAGTAGATAGTTCTGCATCGGATGCTTCGATTATCATGTATTTTAACAATAAATGTGGGTATGCATTGGACTTTCTTATCTGGCCTAATTACATCGTTTCAAATTAAGCAAAACAGAGTTGTTCTCTCAAGGTTCATAGGTTCATCGTTTGTTGAATTGTGGTCTCAATTCCCGACCCAAAATTACCTGCTTCAAGCTTCAAGCTTTAGTTCTCCTGCGGTTGCGATTTGCGAAGAGCAGTGGTTTTCTGGCTGTCAACGCAGATTTAGGAAGCAAATTCCACTTCACCACACGCTTTTATTATACAAAAATTACATGTCAGCAATATGAATAGGCAACCTGGAGGTAACCTGCAAAAAATGTCAAACGAACAAATTTAGTTGGTAAGTGTGGTTGATTACACTATATTTTAATTCATGGCGGGAATTGAGCACTTCGCATTAGTAGATGGGCCTATTTGACACTTCTACCTAAAATCAACTAAATTTTCCATGGTATTTTCATAATTAATATAAGCATACGTGTACGCATATAAAACCAACTAAATTTTCCGTGGTATTTTCATAATTATTATAATACATTAGGAAAAATTTGATAGTACATACGTGATAAGTACACTCAAGATCTATAATAATGCACTGAAGCTATATATGTGTGTTCACTTTTAGTTATATACCCACATATATACTATCAAGTATTTCCAATGCACCTAATAATTATAAAAACATCATTGCGTTTTTTTTTTTTTTTTTTTTTCATTTTTTTCTTATTTTTCGACACTACTTAATTATTCTAGATGGATAAATGAGATTAGTAAGTTATCACAGAAAGTCTAATTTTCATTGGAGCAAGATCCCCTCTCTTTATATATATCCTTAAGAAGTAAGAAATGGCTTAGTCTCAACCAACTTAATTATTCTTTAATTTTTCTGATTATAAGATTTCTTAAAGTTTACATTCATCTCATGATCTCATCTATACAATTAAACTTTTTAAAAAATTCATAAAATGTGTAATTCTACAACCTCTTCCATTTAATAATCTCTTGACCAAATTAAGTAACTAGACTAAAATTCTTTAGTATAGTGGCATGCCTAGCTAATTAAGTGCATTTGCATGCGTATATTGGTATTCAATCTTATTGTTAAAAGTGGTGTGTGTGTGTGTGTGTGTTTATATATATATATATATATATATATATATATATATATATATATATATATATATATATATATATATATATATATATAGTTTGTAATATTTTGTTTGCTTTTGCCTGTTAATATTAAGATACATGATAAATTATTGTAATGTCATACTTATCTATCATAGATGGAGATTGAGCTTTAAGAAATAATGAATGGTTTAGATCGATCTTAACAATATAATACACAAATGTATAATTTTTAGAAATTTCAATTGCTCTCATATTCATAAATCATAACCATAAGAATTGGGTTCAAGCTTTCCGTAACCCCTTCTCATCAATAGACTCATGACTTAGAGCATCCTCAATGGTATATATTTTTGTCGGATTTTTCCTTACCAAGTGAGACTGGGAGAGTGAGGTAGAGGGAGGAGAAAAAAAAAAGGGGGGGGGGGGGGGGGGGGGGGGGGTGTGGAGAAAAAAGAAGAAGAAAAGCAAATTAACCATTAAGTGTTCCCAACGGGCATGTGTAGTGCACACGACTGTTGGGTGTTGCTAGTGCGCGCACGAGTACCATCATAATTTTTTCTTCTTCTTTTCCTTTTCTCCTAGGGTTCACAAAAAATCCTTGTTGGAGCTCCCAATTCAACATTCTCGATCTCTCCTCTCTCATTTTGTCCTTGTCTCTGCAGGACCCACAAAAAACTTTTCAAAAACTTCTATTATAGATACTCTTATATTTAATATGAAAACGTCAAAATTTTCTCTCAACTTTTGATAAGATCTCAAATGCATCGATCAATTAAATAACTACAATTTCAAAGGAAAAAAAAAAACCCAAAATTATAGGCATAGACAAATATACCCTCGTTTGTTTCACTCCCATTTTGCATCAACATAATGGTGTGAAAATAAAAAGAATAATAACAATAGTGACACCCCAAAAGACATGCTTTCAACTCACACCTTTCCTCATCACTTCCCAACCATAAAAAAAAACATTTGAAATTGGTATATACAATCATACTACATTGTTCAACTAATTAAGCAACCTTTTTGCATATTAAATATATTATATTATTTTCTTTCTATCATCCATTCCCTTTCTCTACACTTAATCCACCCAACAACTTAGCACTACACCTACTAGCTTCACTATACACAACCTCTTTAACCCCAAGTCAAGAAACAGTCATCCACACAATCATTGTCTTCCTAGGTGTCTTAGGCTGTCACATTGTCTGCCAACCATTTTTTTTCTCTTTAATTTCTTTGCATATACACATATAAGATGCTTAATTAGCTAGCTTCAACAACATATAAAACTTGGATTCAATTCATTGATTCCTTCCTTCCTAGTATTACAAGAGCTATGAGTACTGCAAGGTTCATCAAGTGTGTGACAGTGGGGGATGGGGCTGTGGGAAAAACTTGCATGCTCATTTCCTACACCAGCAACACTTTCCCGACGGTACGTGACATTTTCGCCTTTTTTTTTTCTCGAATATTTTGTGAGATTGATCAGTGTAATTTATGCGATTTTTTTTTTTTTGTGGGGTTTAAGAATGGTGTACGTGTTTTTGGTCGGATGTAGGATTATGTCCCGACAGTGTTTGATAACTTTAGTGCCAATGTGGTGGTGGATGGGAGCACGGTCAATCTTGGCCTGTGGGATACTGCTGGTAAATTCTTGTCGATCAGTCTCGAGTGACATAGATATAAGTCTCGAGATTGATCATTTCTTGTTTTTTTTTTTTTTTTTTTTTTTTTTTTTTTTTTTTTTTTTTTTATTTAAAAAAAAATAAAAAAAAATAAAAACCTATTGTGGAAATGAATGGTGCAGGACAAGAAGATTACAACAGGCTAAGGCCTCTGAGTTATAGAGGAGCTGATGTTTTTCTGCTTGCTTTTTCCCTCATCAGCAAAGCTAGCTATGAAAACATCTACAAGAAGGTTATCTACACAACAAATCTATACTAAATTTTATTATTATTAATTTTAAGGGAAAATGGCACTTTTTCTCCCTTTGTTATATACTTATAGCACTTTTTCTCCCTAAATTATTTAAGTGGCAGTTTTTCCCCCCCTGATATATTAAATGTACATATTTACCCTTAAAATAAATATTTCATTTATTTTTCTTCTCCAACAAATTATAACCACGATTTGAAAAAATAAAATACATTAAGTGTTGAATTTAGAATATTTTTTTTAAAAAAAAAATAAAATTTTAAAAGAAAGTTTGAATCAACCGTTCAAATTGGATCCAAAATCGTGAACCGACGGTTCAAAATAAAACTCAAACCGCGATTATATATACTTATATGTGAGAGTCAATATAAATGCGGAAAAAAATATACACTATTTGCAAATATTATAATTCTAATTTAAGTTATTGCTAGTAGTTGTTCCGATTTGAACCTCCAGTTCACGGTTCAGGATCCATTTTTTTCCAGTTCACGATTTTAATAAACGGAAACCCAAATATTGGGTTATGTTATGAATCATAATCGAAATTTTTTAATTTGATTGCTATAGTGTTTGGTTCAGTTCGAACCGAACCGTGGTCATCCCTACGTATAAGCAATAATTTGTTGAAGAAGAGAAATAAATAAAATATTTGTTTTAAGGGTAGAAATGTCCATTTAATATTATCAGGGGGAAAAACCGCCACTTCTATAATAATTGAGGGGACAAATGTGAATGCATGAATAACTCAGGAGGAAAAAGTGCTATAAGCATATAACACAGGGGGAAAAATTGCCATTTTCCCTAATTTTAATTTTTTTAAAGATCATATCGAGTATAACCGCATATGATTACGGGTATAATATGCTTGATTATAGAGAGTACTATTTAATTTGCATGGTATATAGTACCCAACTATATATGGTTATATATACGTGATCAATATAATTCACACTGATGATGATCGATTGTGTTGACTTTTTTTTTTTTAATTATTATTATTATTATTATTATTATTATTATTATTATTATTATTATTATTATATTATTATTATTATTATTATTATTATTATTATTATTATTATTATTGTATTATTATTTCTTGATTACAGTGGATACCGGAATTGAGACACTATGCACCCAGTGTTCCAATTGTATTAGTTGGAACAAAACTAGGTAAGATTAACCTGTCATTCTTCCTTTTTATTTATTTTATTTTTTCTTTTACAATTTTGATACATTTATGGAAAATGGATTGAAAATGAAAGTGAACCGAAATCCTAATTTATAGAGTTTAGTTTTATATTAAGTACTAGGTTATGAATTAATTGGATTTTTTATAATTTTTTTATTGAATTATTATATTTTTCAAAAGATAAAAAAAGCTTATAATTTATTTTTTATTTATGATTTTTGTCAAATAATTAAATTAAAACAATGCAGATTTGAGAGATGACAAGCAGTATTTAGTTGATCATCCTGGAGCAACTCCAATCACAACCGTCCGAGTAAGTACTCTTTGGGGATTTTCTGATTTTTTTCCCTTTTATTTTCAAATAATAAAATAAAATAATATTATTGTGGTTATTTGGTTTTCAAAAAAAAAAATAATATTATTGTATTTTTTGAAATTATTAGTTATTACTTTTTTTTCGGTATATAAATCCCTAGGGAGAGGAATTGAAGAAAATGATTGGTGCGGTTGCCTACGTTGAGTGTAGTTCAAAGACGCAGCAGGTAAATATACCGCAATTATGGTATTGCCACATTTAATTTTACTGTCACTTTGATTTTTACTACGTATTTATTTACCGCAATTGGTATTCCTTTAAATTTTTTGTCATTACACCTACCATTTAATAAGGATAGATAACATGTAATTCAATCTTTCTTTTAAATTTGTTTTACAAAGATTAAATAATTTAGTTATAATTATGTCTATTAAAATAAAAGGTAAATGTATATATTTATTTTGTTTAGCTGATTAATTTGACTTAATAAATTGTTATATTATTTCAGAATGTGAAAGCTGTGTTTGATACTGCAATAAAGGTAGCCTTGAGACCACCCAAGACCAAGAAAAAGTTGCAAAAACATAGAAGGCCATGCACCATATTTTGAACTACTACTTCAACTTTGTATACGAGCAAGATCTACACTGATACCAATAATATCGAGTACAATTAGATATTAGATATATCTTAAATGATTGTATTTGATATTATCGATACCGGTACTGATCAACCCTATAGACAAATTATATATTTTTCAGGCGGCATTACTATTTCATATAACAATAATTCTCATACTATACTTTTGTAACATTTTTCTTATGGTTAAATGTATTTTAATTTCTTAATTTTTGCTTAAATTCCATCTAAGAGCTTACATGTAAACTTAATTTGTAGATATGATATAGGTTCTTATTATTGTTTTTGTCATTTTTTAAAAATTTTACTTGAACAAAAAATGTTATAACATATATGCATTAGTTGATGAAAACCCACCGTCACTATCCGCCCCAAGGGTGTACGCCGCCTCGTAACCCTAGCAGGCAAAGGACCACAAGAAAGTAAACTAGTCTAGATTGTCCATAGCTAACCGGCTCAAACCAAGAAGACCAATAGGCCGCTCTCATTGAGAGTCAAAAGATTGACCAACTTAGTTGTGACAACATTCTTCAAAGAATATATGGAAGTTCACTCGTGATATCAAATTGAAGAGTATTCAACCTCATCTGATCTATATGATGACGGTATTGAAGTCCGATCTTGTGTTCAAGATGTTAGCATTATACTATACAAGCCCTTCTCCTCAAGAGTAAGAGTACTTGAGGTTGGAGTGCAATCATTTTTTTCGTAAGGTTAACATACATTATATAGGATAATAGATATTATTTTGCAATCACAAGTTTTATATAAGTGGAATTATCCTTTTTCAAGATAGACACTTTTGTCAAATCTTTGTTATAATTAATACTTAAATGTAGAATCTTGAGTATTTTAAAAAAAAAATTAATACTTAAATGTAGACCACCAATTGACCAATTCGATCATCAATCGTTATGCTGTGGAGCTGTGTCCACCTTGCAAAGTGGACACAGTTCTATGTTCATAATTACTGAACTATATGTTCATAATTATAAAGCTATATATTCATAATTTTTGAACTTCATATTCAACATTATTGAATCTTTGTATTCATAATTACAGAATTATATGTTCATAATTATGTTCACAATTCTATGTTCATAATTATAGAATTATATGTTCATAATTTTTGAACTATATATTCATAATTTTGAACAGTTTTGGAACCGCGCGTATCCACCTTGCAAATGTTATACGAAAATTGCTTATTTCATTGTATTTTTTTTTTTTTACCAACTAGTAAGTTATTTTAAATAAAATTAAAAAAAAAAAAAAAAGGAGTCGTTATATTGATATTTAGAAATCAAATATTTAATCTAAAATAAGGGATTACCATAACATTGGTGTTATTGCAGGAGAGGGACTCTTCTAATTCATTGAATTTCCTATTTCTCTTCATCCATCTATCTAAGCATTCGGAGATCATTAAAATCTGCATGTTTGCCGCAATCGCCCTTCTTCCTCTGATCTCGATCACCTCTCTCCATTCCCATCCATCTCCGATCGATCCCACGCCATTTTATGGTTTCTTAACTTCTTCTTCGTCTCCTTTTTCAATATTTCTTAAACAAAAATGGCATATAGATCAGACGAGGATTACGACTATTTGTTCAAAGTGGTGCTCATAGGAGACTCCGGCGTCGGAAAATCAAACTTGTTGTCGCGTTTCACCAAAAATGAATTCAGCGCAGAGTCTAAATCTACCATCGGCGTCGAATTCGCCACCCGAACCATCCAGGTCGACGATAAAGTCATCAAGGCCCAGATTTGGGACACCGCTGGCCAAGAAAGGTAACCACCCTATCCTACCCTTCCTATATATATATATATATATATATATATATATATATATATATATATATAACCGATACCGTCTTAATATTTATATTTAGATGAGATTTATCCAGTTGAATCTAGACAAATCTCATTCAGATTAACAAGTAAAGCTATAATTATTTGAATTCCTGACTATTCAGGAAACTAGGGTTTTGAAATCAACATGATTCTGTTCATTTTTGAGATCTACATTCTCTAATTCTCATAAACAATGAAGCTTTCATAAATTCTGATATAAAAAATTTCTCCTATTCATAAACGCAGGCAAAATTTCATGGAATTATAATGCGATTGATGCAATGCAGAATTATATTTCATGGAATTGTGATGAAATTGATGTAATGTAATGTATGAATGTATGTATAGGTACCGTGCAATCACGAGCGCGTATTATCGAGGAGCGGTGGGGGCGCTGCTGGTGTACGATATAACTCGGAACGTAACGTTCGAGAACGTGCAGCGGTGGCTGAAGGAGCTCCGGGACCACACCGATCAGAACATCGTGGTGATGCTGGTGGGGAACAAGTCGGATCTCCGCCATCTGCGGGCGGTGCCGACGGACGACGCGGGGTCGTTCGCGGAGAGGGAGAACACGTTCTTCGTGGAGACCTCGGCGCTGGAGGCGTTGAACGTGGAGAGCGCATTCACGGAAGTGCTGACTCAGATCTACCGGGTGGTTAGCAAGAGGTCGCTCGACGCCGGCGACGACCCGTCGGCGCTGCCCAAGGGGCAGACTATCAACATTGGGAACAGGGACGATGTGTCCGCTGTGAAGAAAGCTGGGTGCTGTTCTGGATAAAAATGTAACTTCCGTTTTCTTTTTTTCTTATTAAACAAAAAAAAAAATTGCCTAGAATTCGACTCTTCTATCCTCACATGTACACTAAAATCCTACGTACTTTTGGCGTTTATGGTATGAAAAGATTTTTTTTGGCATCTTTAGTAACATAAGTTAGTTTATAGTTAATTTTAGTTTATTTGATCATTATTAGCTGATGAGTATTGATTAATTAGCTTTTTATAACACAGTTTGTTGTTTCAAAATGTTAAAATTCAAAAAATTGTTTAAGTCTTTTTTAAGAAAGTCATTTTTTTATGTAATATGTTATCAGCTAGTCAAACTTAATAACTCAACACTTTTCTACAATCAATTAATGTTATCAATTAGTCAAACTAACTCAATAACCCAACACTTTTCTACAATTAATTAATGTTATTAATTAATCAAATTCACTAACTCAATCAGTTAACAGCTATTTACCAAACACTACCTTTCTATTTGGTGGGCCATTTACCATTTTGACTACCCACTCCTATGTTCTAATCATAGAATTCTTTGACTTGACCTTTTACGCAAAAATGGTAAAATTATTCAAATTGTTATAAATATTAATGATGGCCATTATTTTGTAAACGCTTGTAACAGACATATTAATGTGTCATTATGTATGCCATTATTTCAGTCAAGATTGATGGCGTAAACATCAATGAAATATATAAAGAGCTTGGTAATGTCAATTCATGTTTAAAGACTGAGACTTTTTGAAATAAAAAGCTTGTGAAAGCTATAAGTATTATCTCGACTTGAATATCGAGTTTTTCTTTGAAGATTTCTTTTATATACACCAGTCAGCCTACATCTAAAAATGTTTTTTTTTTTCACATGTCTATATGCATATAAATGTCATGTTTTTTATCAAACTAAAGGTTGCCTAATAATCTCTTGAAGCAGATAAGGAACCTTTTTGAACTCGAAGTCCCTTACTTCATTATCATTGGAGCACCATTATAGAACCAGAAGTTCCATAACCGCAACATATTTGCGATAAAATTGCTAGCAAAATCTAGTGCTCCCCCTACAAATGAAGTACTTGAATAATGATTGACATATCCTCCGGTATCTTCGAGATACAAAAACAGTACTTGAATAATGATTGACATATCCTCCGGTATCTTCGAGATACAAAAACATGACATTTATGTAAGAAACCATGATACAGTTTTAATAGGCTACTTGGGTACTGTCTGTTTTTGTTTGATCCCCGCAATGCCAAGTCCAAACTGGTTATACAATGTCTTTCCCTAAATGTTCAAAATGAGGACAATAATACTTGTGTTGCACAAATGTTATATGAGCTCTAGAAGAGCCATAAGATTATTAGACATTTACTCTAGTGACAATCCAGAAGATTTGTCCAATCCATTTCTTCAAATTTTTGAAATATATGTAGAACTTGAAGATTGTTATCTTCAGGGGGAGACATGAAGTACATTTACTCGAATCAATCCGGAAGATTGAATGTGAAATCCTGAAGATTAAGTCATAAAAGACTAACAGTTGCGCATTATTTGCAACACATAAATTCATAAATATCATGTACTCTTTTCCTCACTAGTTTTCTCCCATTGGGTTTTTCTAGTGTGGTTTTTAACGAGGCTTATGTATGATATAGTAATGACAATGGGAAAAAGTTGCAAAATAATTACTTAAATGGACAAACCCCAAAGTCCTGAAGATTATGCAGTTTGCGCCCTGAAGGCTTATGGTTGTACTCTTTTTTCTAACTAAGTTTTTCCCACAGGGTTTTCTTAAGTTAAGGTTTTTAATGAGGCAACCAATACAATATATGTTTTTACATAAATCATGTACTCTTTTCTTCAACTAGGTTTTTTCCCACGTGATTTTCCTAGTGAAGTTTTTAATGAGGCATGAATGTATGCTATCCATATACCTTGTACTCTTTTCTTGTCTAGGTTTTTCCCACTGGGTTTTCCTAGCAAGTTTGTTATTAAAGCAAGATTGTGGACAAATAATGTCCAAGGGAGAGTGTTATAAATATCTCATTCATTATGGACATTATTGTTGATTTGTAACATATGTAACAGTTATGTCATTTAGTATAATACTTAATGATTGTACATGTATATATATTCAGATATTGAAATAACAGAAACAAGTGTCTCTCTGGCTTATTGTGTTCTTCATCTCTTCTCTATCTTCTTTATCTAAATTCCGTTGGTCAATATGTTTGAGCTAATAGGCATATTACAACACAAATATTGTATACGTGTGAATGTAGATTATAATCTTAATCTTGGTTTATTGTTTTTTGGTGTTTATATGCCTTTTTTTTCACTTTTTGTGCTAAAATATTGTGTAAAGTTAGAATTCAGAATTGTAATAAATTGAAGACGAACGATTTAGTTTGTTAGACTATTGAGTAGTACAAAAGAATTGTTCTCAATTCATTTAACTTTCACCATTCACCGGTGTCAATCAACACCTTAGAAATTTCTTATAATTTCATATTGTAATACATAGGAAGAGGTGTATAAACCCCTCTTCTATAGTAGGAAGAATTGTATGAAAAATCATGTCTTATAAAAAGTATGAATTCAAATTACATTATTTGGTAAGGATGAATAGAATTATCGAGGAATGAGAATGAAAGAAGTATAAAAACTAAAATGTCTTTGTATAATAATAATAATAATAACAAAGGGTACTTTACTCATTTCTTCCGTTTTTTTACCTTCCCACAACCATTTGAATTGCAATTTACAATTCAACAAAAGGAGGGAATTGTAACTCCGTTGAATTACAATTCCTTACAACCAAACCATGTAATTTACCCGGAAAGGAATTCCAACTACATCCAACCATGCACTGCATGAAATGCATCGTGTACATAATTGTATCATGAAGAACTCCAGAAGAAGTACTTCACATATTACTAGGTACAATTTGTAACGTTCACCAATGCACTTTGCACTTTATAATGTTATAGTCGATACATTTTAAAATTCAAGATATTTATCAAAATATCTCTAATTATTTATTCATAATCATAATTTTATTATTGAACATTAATATTGTGTGGATTAAACATAACTTTAGCATCCTTCCTAGGAAGCAATTAGTCAATTTAGCCATCCAATATGTGTTAAATTTGTTATCAAAGAACAAGGAACTAAATACAAGTTCCATACATAGACAAATTCAGATTCCAAGGGATCCAAGCATTAAAAGATGGATAGCTCAAACCAGCCTCCAACAATCTAAGTATCAAAAACTTGCAAAACCCAACAAACAGTTTTATCTGTCTATAATAAATAGACCATCCGTCCCTAATTGTTTGTCACATTTGCATTTTGCACGATTTTCAATGCAGCAAAACAAATGTTACTAACTTTTCAATTTTGCCCCTCAAAAATATGTATCATTTGTACAAAGTAGAACTATACTTACCTCATTAATTGTCTAGAAATTTGAAAAGGTCAAAATGGTAAATTGGAAAATGTAGAAGGATAATTATGTTCAATTTTGTTAAGAAGACAATATTTTGTGACAAACTAAAAAGGAAAGTAAGACATGTAAAATGGGATGGAGGGAGTACATATAACTAGAACCTAAAATCTTGAATTCATCATTTGCGAGTTTCCAACTTCTTCTGCTCTTTAGCTGCAGCAGTAGAAACAATCATAAACAAACTTGGATTATGAATTTGAAAGTGGGAAAGGGGGGTTAAAAGAATACGAGGCCAGCAGGGTTATGTTTGAAGAGTACCAGCTTTCTCCTCTTCTCGTTTTTTAGCAGCTTCTGCTCTTTCTTGCCTTATCATGGCCAAACGATCTGCAAGTTCAAGGGTAATTAAGTAAATTATGAGTACAAATGGTGACGAGGAGTCCAGTATAGCTAATTACATGTAACGCGAGTAGCTTTCTTAGCGAAATGCAAATAAGTACGTACCTAAATCCTTCCTAGATTGTTCTGTTTTCCCTTGTTCTTGGAGCTTCATGTACCGCTCATGAGCTTTCTGCTTCTCTATCTCTTCCCTAAGGACAAGGAAGATTTCCATACATGACGTAAAATAAAAGTGAGCAAGGTGTACATTGTGTATACATAAATTTATACTAGGACAAGAAAAAGATAATTCACATACCTCTCACGTCTGGAAAGTTCTGAGGTTTTCTCAATCTGCGAAACAGAAAGAACATCTCATAATATATACAAAATCCTCGTTTGTTTTTAAAACAAGCTACATTACAAAGTGAAGAAGAGAGTAGAAGATAGAGGCATGTATCGTACATCCACATTTTTGGCTTTCAGATTCTTAGGCTTGACCAGATTAGGATTTTCAATCTGAATGATGCCCTGTGTACCCTTCCGTTTCTATTCAACAATCCAGTATAGAAGTGAACATTAAAATGTTAGCGGTGCCACAAACTCATAAAAAGCAGAAAATAAATTTAGGGGAAGAAAAGATTAAATTGTCATTGAGAATAAGTGTGCATACTTCTGATTCTTCATCAGATCCTCCAGATTCCTCTTCAGACTCTGATCTCTCTGCTTCCTCAACTTCATCTTCTACCTAAAAACATCGAAGAAATTAAATAAGATAAAAAAAAAATGCATAAACATCACAGATGTAATTTTAAAGACTGCATTTAAGAGGAGTATGGTCTATCTTGGGTTCTTGGCTTTGCCACAAGAGTTTAGAAATAATAAACTTGAATGTCAGAATTGAGTTACAATAACCCACAAAGTGTTTAAACTTAAATCATCCTTTCTAATGTCTTTGCAAGTCACATATCACTGCATCAATGTTTGAATTTTTTTCAAGTGACATTAAAACCCCCTTTTATCACATATGAATGAAGTCAATATATATATATATACACACACACACACACTAAAAATACCTTTTTAAAAGTTCGAGGACGAGATGATGTACCAGCCACTGTTATATGGACACAAAACAAAAGAACTCTTATTATGCCTTCACTCATGAACTAAATAGAGAATAATTATCATAGTTAAAACTCATTAAATAATAAATCCAAAAAATTAAAACATCCATATTTTCAAACTCATATTTTGAAAGTACATGGAATAATACAAACGAATTTGAAATTGTGAATACAATTTAATTCTGAGTTTCGTTATTTAACAGATAATAATTATTAAACAGATAGTCAGATAGATGTCATCTTCATCATCATTTCTAAGTGATTTTACATGCACATAATTACTAATAATTGACTTATTTCAGAACCCACCATGCGGATGACAGTACACAACATATCAGATATAAGCTCAAATAGTCATACTTCTGCATGAATAGTATCAAACTCAACAAGTCACATTTAAGTGCCTGTACACTAGGACTGCAGTGTAAACATATAAATGTATATCCTACCATTTTGTCTCCTACAGATGCTGCAGGAAACCTTTCTCAAATATGTTTCACTTGGCCTTATTCTTCAATCTTCATCCTTATTTTTACCACACACACACAAAAAACCCTTCTCAAGTTTTCAACCATTCTTGCACTCTTGACATTCTTCAACTCATCCTATCACTTGTTCATTGGACAAATGTGGGTATACATAATGGTGCCATAAGTACATAATAAGGCTTGTTAAATGTTAACCACTTAAAAACAAGGTTTCAGCTTCGACTCCTAGTGGGAGTGACTTATTGGTTTTCTTGGTTTGAGCCGGTATGGGCAACCTAACTAGGAAGACCAGAATTGGCAATCTTATTTATGTTGTAAAATTTGGCTTATGTGCTTATCATCATCAAAAATATCATTCCCAGTAGTTGAAGCTAGCTTCTTGTAACTCCACATGTCTCAATGAAATAAAATTTAAACTTTTACTATCACTCCCCACTTCAAAGCTACATCATAAAAAATATATCCAACAGTACTAACTGTAATTTATGTCCTCAAAACAGAACTGCATAAATTCAAAAGCCAATCCAAACACAATACTCAGACAACAGACTCCAATCATCATCTACAACCTCAAAACATCATGAGATCAATCCAAATTCCTTAATAAAAATAATCTCAGAACCAGCCCCAGTATTCATGAAATCCCAGCCCCAAAATTCCTAACACGCAGATCTAAATCCACCCAAAAAAATACATCAACACAAAACAAAAACCAATAAATCAAATTCAATAGTTACAAACATATCAGAGACATACTCATCTCCTCAGGAGTGGAGAATTGGCGCCGACCGGTGGGCTTTCCCTTGAACTTTCCCCTCCCCATGGCCGCTTATGCTTAGCTTTTTTTTTTTTTTTTTTTTTGCAGTGAATTTTCTACCGAATAAGACTGAAGCCGACGACTGTAAGGAGGAGAGAAGAAGAGCTTCGCTGCTTTCTGTGAAAAGTTTTACTGCGGATTTTCACTTTTCCCCTTTTTCTTTTCAATAATAATTGAGTTTCAGGAGAAATCAGAAACCCTAGTAAAGAAGAGTCCATTTCGATTTTCGAATATAAGATTTTTTTTTTTTTGAAAGGAGAATATGAGATTTTTAATTCAAAATAAATTAAATTTTGAATGGTAGTATTTTTTTAGTACTATTACTAATTCTGTTACAATGTTTGAAACATAAAGAATCATTATTATCTTAGGAATTGAACTCATTATCTCACATTTTGAAGATTCTATGCCACTAGACCACGAGTTTATTGGCTTGAATGATAGTATTAAGATTGAGAAAAGTATTGTTAAACTTTAAACTCCTTCAATTGGTAAAAACATATAATTGAGTCATATATATTAATTGAATATTTTATGTGTTAGGTTCGATTAATTACATTTCATTGAAGTTATTTTTAGTTTAATTTTTCAATGTTAAATTTAATATTAGTATATAAAATTTATATATCTAAAAAAATATTAAAAATATTATTAAATATAAAAATTATATTTAAAAATATTAAAGGAAAGAAAAATAATAATTTAATCAATAAAAAATGATTAGTCAACGACAATGACTCAACAAATACACTATACTAAAAAGGGTAAATTACAATATGACTTATTAATAAATATTTTCTTTGCCCTTTAATTGTGTCGGTCTGGTATAAATAGAGATTAGTCTGAGTATGGTACGAGTTTAAAGGTGCTTCCTACAGTTAGGATTTGTTCAGGAGATGAGAATATATTTTCTGTATTTGATAATAATGTCTGAGAGTACAGGGAACGAATATATAGAGATGCTAGATATAATCCTAGTATAACACGAATAATATAGTCCTAGTCTAATATGGATAATATAGTCCTAGTCTAATATGGATAATATAGTCCTAGTCTAATATGGATAATAGAGTCCTAATACTCCCCCTCAAGCACAAGGTTGGTAGCCAAAACATTGAGCTTGCAACGGAGTAAATTAAAACGTACAGACGAAAGAGACTTAGTAAAAATATCTGCTATCTGATCTTTGGTAGAAATAAAATTGACTTGTAATTCCTTCTTCGCGACTTTATCACGAACAAAGTGGTAGTCGATCTCAATGTGCTTGGTGCGAGCATGAAACACCGGACTAGCACACAGATAAGTAGCTCCCAGATTGTCACACCAGAGTTTGGGCACAGAAGGTGGCGCAAACCCGATTTCCTTCATCAGAGAGACGAGCCAAGTAACCTCTGTAGAGACATCAGCCAGTCCTTTGTATTCAGCCTCAGTTGATGAACGAGCCACAGTACGTTGTTTTCGACAAACCCATGAGACAAGATTGGTCCCCAAAAATACAGCAAAACCACTAGTAGATTTGCGATCATCAGGATTGCTAGCCCAATCCGAATCAGAATATGCATGAATATCTAGAGAAGGAGAAGACGTAATCTTAAGACCAAGATGTAATGTCCCATTTACATATCGTAACACCCTCTTGAGAGCCGCCCAATCCGCAGTAGAGGGAGAGTGCATGTGCTGACATAAACGATTGACTGCATATGAAAGATCAGGCCGAGTTACCGTAAGATATTGCAGAGCACCTGCAAAGCTACGATACTGAGTGGGATCAGCGTATGGTACCACGGCATCAGTCTCGACCTTCGTGGTCGGACGCGAGGCAGGCCAGACATATAAACCCCCGGACGCATGCCCCTTAAAAAGGGTGTTCCTGGTTTGAATGTCCTTCACAAAGAAACACGAAGGGTGAAACTCAAAAAAGACATTATTATCTTTAGCAAAACGCTGAACAGATAATAACGAAGAAGATAGACCAGGAACATGCAAAACATCAGACATACGAAACGACCTAGAATTAGTGGCTAACGAAGTAGAACCAATAGTAACAATAGGCAAACCTGTACCATTGCCGACCCGAAGTGTCTCCGAACCATCATATGCAGTAGAGGACGTCAATAATGTGGGATCAAGGGTAGCATGATTTATGGCACCAGTGTCTGGGAACCACTGATGAGAGTCGTCCATAGAACCATCAACACCAGAAACGACAACATTCGCCTGAGGATCTGAATCAGGAGTGAAACGACGCCAACACGCCTTAGCTATATGCCCTTGCTTGTTGCAAATCTGACACCGAGGGCCCGAGTTGGACCGCCCCCGGCCACGACTGCCGCGCCCCCTGCCGCGGCCGCTACCACCTCGGTTTTGTGGGCTGCCACCGCGACCGCCGTGATCACCACGGTCGGAACTCCGGGCGTAAACCGCGAAACACATATAAATTCTGATCATCCAACTCAACATAACGACCGGCAAGGGCCAATTCATCAATCAACATCTAGGCACGACCAAGGTAATCAGATATTGAGGAATCACCTTGACGGAGCCCCTGAAGTTCGCCGAGTAGCCGGAGTACACGAGAGCGAGTAGACGAACCTAGGGTTTGTTCGATTACCTGCCAAAGCTGCCGAGAGGTGCCCTTGTCGACACCGAAACGAAGAGTCTCTTCGGACAAAGAAGAGATGAGCATGGAGAGGATTGCCTTGTCTTGCCGACGCCAAGCGAGCTGTCGGGCGGGGAGATTGGAAACCGCCGCAGGGGCACTGTCCGCGGTCGACGTTAGGGCCGGCGATGCCGTCAGAAAGGGTGTTGTACCGTCAACAAACCCTAGAAGCTCTTGGCCTTCAAGAAACGAAAGCATCTGAGTTCGCCAGAATAAATAATTTCGGGAGGTCAACTTTAAAGAAACGAAGTGATGAGCCGATGACAGGCTACCACTCGCAGGCATCGTAGGAACCTCGGTAACGGTCCGTTCCGAAGAACCAAGAACAGAGCCGTCATTAACACCGACGTTTTCCATGAGAAAAGAAAACCTGATACCAGATGAGAATATATTTTCTGTATTTGATAATAATGTCTGAGAGTATAGGGAGCGAATATATAGAGATGCTAGATATAATCCTAGTCTAACACGAATAATATAGTCCTAGTCTAATATGGATAATATAGTCCTAGTCTAATATGGATAATAGAGTCCTAATACAGGATACCTCATGGCCTGACCAAAAAAAAAAAAAATACTTATCTTTAATATATTATATGTTAATTTTTAGTATATTTTATTTTATTAGGTTAGATTTAACAATTTGATCATTAAACAAAAAAACAAAAAATTATATTATAGACCATTGAAAAATGCATTCTTAATATATTGAATATTTATTTTTAATATATTATAAATTCATTTTTTTGTGTGTAAATTATAAATTCATTTTTAGTATACTAAATTTTATTGAGTTAGATTTATACAGTTAAACATTAGACTACTAAACAAGTCAAATTAGACTTAATTGAACAATTTTACCGGTTTAGGAGACTTGAATGAAACTTTTTTCACTTAGGGGATCCAATTGCACTATTCACTTGACTTAGGGGCCAATTTGACACTTTTTCCTACACAACTTAACCACTAAACTAAAAAGGGCAAATTATAGTGTGGATCATAACCCACGGTATAACGACGAACTAAAAACATGCATAATTTCAACACTGAACAAGAAAAAAAAAACTGCACAATTTGCTCAATTTACTTGTCTATAACCATAACCAACGGTGCATGTAGTTGTCTTTACAGTGATTAAGAGATCAGAATTTCACTTAAGCAATACTACACTAACACACTAATTCTCTTCAGTCTTCATTCACTATGTTGAGCAATATTAACTGGTCTGACCAAAGCAAAATCGCCTAAGTGGGACTTGGAGTTTACTGACATCAACAACTCCAGCACAACAACCTGACCTGGGTGTCGGATATTGAGACCCCGTTCAAGAAAACCTGTAATGGCGAGAATTCCAGTTCATGACTGTGATTATAGGTGATTTGGGATTTCAGGGGCGATACAGAGAAACCTAAATTAGTACATACCAGGAGACATGTCTTTCCCGCCATACAGCTCTTTTGTTAAGGGGTTTGACGCCCAGTTATTGACAGCAATGCGGCTTGTAGGTTGGAATCCAACAATTCTCCCGTCCATGGACAACACTACCTGTTCAACAGTAGCAGAGAAGCTTACAACTATGTTAAGTGCAGCAACTTAGCACCGCTATGACAAGCAATCTTGCGATCATATATATATATATATATATATATATATATATATATATATATATATATATATATATATATATATATATATATATATATATATATATATATATATATATATATATATATATATAGAGAGAGAGAGAGAGAGAGAGAGAGAGAGAGATTGGATCAGGTGAGATCACCTTATCCATATGAGATTGTGAGATTGCATCCTAAACATCCAATCAATATAATGTATGTCCTAATTTAATTGGGGAATAAAAACAAATCTTGACTACTAATTCATTTTTTTTTGGTTGCCCAGGGTATCCCTCCAGCTGATAGCCGGAAGACTAATCCCCCCAGGGCAGGGCGCTAAGCAGAAGGGGACTGGCCAAATGGTTTGCTTCATTCACATGGGTGGGGATCGAACCCCCAACCTCATGCTTAAGGGACAAGGTGCCGAACCACCACGCCAACCATGTTGGTTACTACTAATTCAAATTGATTGGATGCTTAGGATCCAATCTCATGATCTCATCTACAAGGGTGGTCTCACAGGATCCAACTATATATATATATATATATATATATATATATATAAAGATAATACCATCAATAGACAGAGACCTGATAATTGGCAATTTCTTGTGCAGATGCATTTATTTCCTCTACGTTTTCCAAATGTGTGGAACTGGAGGAAACATCTAAAACATTAGAGCCGTTTTCCATGGTGCTTCTGAGGAATTTTGGGATTTCTCCAATCCACGCACAGCAGCCAGAAGTGGTCCTTATTTCTCCAGGCCAACCAAGAGCAACCTTAATTCTTTTAATGATTGAAACACAGTGGGCTTCCAACTATAGAAACAAAGAGCACATTACTATAACATTCAACTGAACAATGCATTATGCAAACGGATATGACATGATTGATGTAACCTCATGTCATCAACTACAGAGG